GACCAGGATGGTCTCGATCTCTTGACCTCGTGATCCACCCGCCTTGGCCTCCCAAAGCGCTGGGATTACAGGCTTGAGCCACCGCGCCCGGCCTTGACCTGTGCTTTTCAATTAGGTAGGCACCAGCCACATGTGGCTACTGAGCACTTAAAATGTGGCTAGACTCCCTCCTCTTCTCCCTGTTCCTTCCCCTTTTCCTTTTCCCTCACCCTTCCTCAAAAGGAAAAAAAAGTGAGTACAAATTGAGAAGTGCTTTAACTGAAAAATACGCATCGAATTTCAAAGGTACAATACAAAAAAAGATGGAAAAATCTCAGTACTTTCTAATATTTATAATATGTTGAAGTAATATTTTGGATATATTGGGTTAAATCAGTGGTTCTGTTTTTTTTTTAATTTTATTTTTATTTTTATTTTAAATCAGCGGTTCTGAAGCTGGGATGGTTTAGCAACATCCAGAGACATTGTTGATCGTTACAACTCAGGGAGTAGGGGTGTGGCTACCGACATCTGTCCACTAGAATAGAGGCTAGGGGTGCTGGCCTGTCCACAACAAAGAATTATTTGGTCCAAAATATTAATAATGCAGTTGAGAAACCCCAAGTGAAATAAGAGGGTGAGGCCTGAAACCCTATTGGGGTGCTGAAGGAAAAGAGTCAGTAGAAAAAAAGAGTGGAAAGATAAAGAAAATAAAGGGATGCTCAATGGAGAAAAACACCTATGGAGGCAGAGGAAATGAGATTCAAAGCTCAGATGGAAAGTTAGCCTTGGATAGGAGAAGGGATAGCCTTTGCACTGAAACAGGTGAGAAGGAAGAAGTGATACTACAGTTTAGCTATGTTAGCGTCAGGAGGCAAGTTGAGGGCTTGTTCATTGAATGATCTTGACTTCTCTGTGAAACATGACATAGGGCCATCTACTAAGATATGAGGTTTGGAAAATACTGGGTGGAGAATGACTGGAAGAGATTTTAAAAATCAGAATAGTCACTAACATAATGGCCAAAAGGGCAACAAACCAAAGCTCAGAGCAGAAAAGGAGTGACGCTGAAAAAACAGGTGTTATGCAGTTGTATTTAGAGGAATAATGGTAGATTATAGGGGTGAGAGATAGTTCTCACCTGAATTACACACAATTTTCTGATTTCTATGCTTCTGCTTCCACCACTGTCACCACACCACCCCAAACTCAGCCTTAAGCCATAGTCAGAGCATGGCAGAAACTGACTAGACATTAAATTGCTTAAGATCTTTCAATGACCTCCATCACCTTCAAGTTAAAATCCTTAACATGGCAAATAAAGCCCTTCAAAATCCATATCCTTCACTACCACTTCATACCAGCCCTAGCTCCCATCCTGTCCCCTGACCCTTCCTGGACCTTGGTGGACTTCTCAAACTTCTTGTTCTCCAGGAAAATATATATATACACATATATATATATGTGTATATATATATATGTATATATATATGTATATATATGTGTATATATATATGTATATATATAT